TCCGCGCTGTCGACAAATCCCTCAAACAAACCAAAACCAACAATGCAACCACATGTCTGTTACTAAGAGCCAAGCTTTCAAATGAAGGCATACACCCTAAAAAAAAAATACAATACCAAATCCATAATTTAATATTATTAAAGGAAAAAAGCAATTTCCTGAAACAGCTGGGCACTGGACTTGTTTGGAACGGTTCGGAACGGCTCGCATTAATAACTATTCAAGGCTCTGGTGGGTATTTGCAGCAGCAGGAGTGTGTGGGATTATCGCAGCGGCCGTGTTCACTTTAATGCCAAAACATGCCATCCAGTGCATTAGTGTGATTCACTGACGTGTTTATATAATGCCGCCGATAGAAGAATAAATACAAAGCTGAAGAAGGATCGACTCATTTGTTTTATTTCTCTTGGACTTAACTTTTAACTACCGACACTGCATGAGGAGGAGGCGCTGGGCGAAGCGCTAAGAAAGGGGGGGAAAAAGAAACGCAGTCCTTGTTTTCCTGGGTGTTACACTTAGTTTGTGCAGCACCTATCCACAGTTTTCATTAAACTGCAATGGAAACTGCACACTGTGCATCCTGTAATTTTCTTCTTCGGGGCTTCAGACTTTAAATTATCTTCACCTTATCAAGTGCTGACCCACGGGCCCTCATGTGTAAACAGAAAAAGCTGCCAGTAAGCAAAATTTTCTCTCTTCCCCTTTTCTTCAGATGGAAAAGCATTTCCAGTGAGTTTTGGTAAGCTGATTTGTTCAGCTTTAGGAGGCTTGTGCTTGTCTTGCATGGTGTTTAACAGGAGTTTAATTGCCCACAACAGAATAAGAAGTGGAAAGTTACAACAGTTTGTTTGGACTCATTTAATAGAGAAATACTGCGGACTCGACAGCCACTCTATTAGGTACAACTGCTCATTTTGTGCAATCACATGGCAGGAAATTAATTCTCTTGGACATGTAGGTGAGGTCAAGGTGAGCATCAGAATGGGGAAAAGGTGATTTAATTGACTCTGAATGTGGCATAGTTGTTGGCACTGGTTGGGCTGGTCTGTTTCGGAAACTGCTCATCCACTGGGATTATCCCACAAAAGCATCTCTGGCGCTAAAAAGAAAAGAAATTTCCACTAATCTGTAGGAAACGCCTTGTTGATGTCAGAGGTCAGAGGAAAATGGCCAGACTGCTTCAAGCTGATAAGAAGAAAACTCAAATAATCACTCACTACAGCCAAGGTATGCAGAAGAGCATCTCTGAAAACACAACACGTTGAACCTTCGTGTCAGCTAAAAACAGGAACCCAACGCCACAGTTCACACGGGGTCACCAAAACTGCACAACACAAGATTTGAACAATGTCTCCGTTTCTACGGCAACCTCAAATAGTGAGATCAGAATTAGACGCAGATAACATTAAAGCCTGGATCCATCCTGGTTATGTAATGGTGTGGGATTTTCTTGGTACATTTTCCGCTGTTTGGTCTCCGCCCATCCTTTGTGTACCATCTTCAGATAGCTGCTTTCAGCAGGATAACTCACCATGTCACAAAGCTCAAAATGACCTCAAACTGGTTTCTTAACCACACCAATCAGCTCAATGCACTCAAATAAGCTCCAAGCCCAGATCAAAGTCTAATTGATGTGGTGCAAGAGGAGATTCACATCGTTTACGCTCAACAAATGTCTGAGGAATGTCTGCGGCACCGGCAGGAATTGGGGCAGAAGAAGGTCCACGTTATTAGGCTGTACCTAATAAAGTGGTTCATTTTTTGAGGGGAAAAATTGGATCTGCTAAAACTGCTAGATTTCTTTTCTGCAGAAAAACAACATGCCACAATTCATCCACGCATACGCAAATAAGTGAGAAGACGTAAAAACCACAAAAGGAAGCGAATTTGGCGATTCTTCCAACCACGACTCATGACGTCAATATTTCTACACTCCTGGTAACATCCGGGACAACAAGCGAGAAAAGAAGGTGGGAGAAAGAGATGCAGAGATAGACAGAAGCAAAAGCAAGATAAAAGAAAGAGTAATGACAAAAACAGCGGATGTGTGAGTGAGGGAAGGAATGGAGCAGAGATGGGATAAGGGGGGAAAGTGGCAGGGAAAAGGCGAGAGGGATGAAAAACACTCTCTCTCTCGCTCGCGCTCTGTGGGGTGGAGGAACACAGCTTGGCTCGCCACGGTAAACACATAAAACGCCACAACCACAACAAACCACAGGCTGCCTGGCGCACGCACATAAACACACACAACAGCAGTGCGCTAAGCCCGTTCTGCTCGCTTTTCACAAGCAACACAGCTACACGCAGAGGCTTCCCACTGTGATTGACAGCTTGGGAGAAACCACTCAGAGCCACGGGGAGAGGTAAACCATAAACCCAGCCTACCGCTGAGTGACTGACACTGATGTGAAAGCCACTTTCCCTGATTGGCAGTTGAAGTTAAGTCCTCAGATGAAGAAGGGGAAAGGAGGGCTCCGGGTGAGTCTGATGTCCAGGAATACAGCCGAGCAACAGATCCCGCTTACCCTAACCCTCTCAAAACACACCTCAAAGACGCTCTTTGAAAAAGAAACAATTCAAATGTCAAACTGCGTGTCCGAGTTTGACCTTTGACTCGTACAATTAGAGGTCAGAGGGAGGTTAAGGTAAACATAGCAATGCTTTTCACGGGACAGTACCTTCAGCATAAAAGCCTAATGCGGATGTCATAATAAATGCCACTGAGGCATGCTCTGGGTCTCGCTGGAGGGTTTACTTAAAAACCAGGAAAAACATGCATTTTATGACACCGCCAGTCATAACAGAGGGAAAAATATCTCTAAGCTGACATGCTGAGAAAATTGACGCCCACTCGAAAACATAGCTTTTATGCACATTACCCATCGTGGAAAGCTTTTTCTTACCGTCTGTGTGGAAACATTTTCGAAGAGAAGATTTCAGAATTAAACAAATTTGTCACTTCTAACGGCGTGTCAATTTAAGGGAACTGAGCTGTTGATTTATTTAACCGATTAAATAGAATCTTTTATATTTTATTTAGGCGATTATTCTTCTTTCAAGAAAAATATCAGAGGCAAGGGTTTGTTTCTTTTCATGGTTTCATATAAGTGTTTTTACAGGCAGTTGTCCCCATTTTCTAATCACCATCTCTATACCTCAATCTATCACGAAAACACCATTTTCAGTTTCAGTCATATACTGTATATAAATGATGGACACATCCAATGAGAACTCCTGAGGAGGATGTTGATCTGACTGAGAAATCGAGGACACTGCCTTCTAGTTATTTTCTTGAAATTTTGACTTATTAACTTGAAGTTTTGAGAGAAGTAACTCGAAATTTCGAGCTAGCACTGCCAATCAGCAATCTACGTGAATAACGTCTCTTTCTTGTTACCCAGAAGGTTATGGCGCAGAGGGATGTACAAATTGACGCTTTCGAGAGTAGGTTTGCTGATAGTAACGCCATGTGATTCAGCTAACAGCACAAGGATTTCATCATTTGTGAAGCCACATTGAACATACTCAGCAATCTGTGCGTTCATGAATGACTGTAATACTGGTAGCTTAGCTGTAGCATTTGTAGCTGAGGGCTTCAGCTTCTGGGTAACAAGGAAATGACGTCATTCATGTAGATTGCTGATTGGCAGCGCTAACTCGAAATTTTGAGTTAATAGATCGAATTTTCGAGTTAATAAGTCGAAATTTTGAGAAAATAACTCAAAATTTTGAGTTATGGATCTTTTTTTGTGTGGCAAAAACGGGCTTCCATACATTTCTGATGAGGCTTCAGTGAACTGTAGCTGGATTGAATTAAGGGCCAGTTGCATCTCTTGGGTCCTGCGTCAGGTCTTTTATAGTTTCTTCTTCTTTTGTTCTCCATTTGTGCACTTTCCTCAAATCTTTTCAGGACACCCTGCATGCAGTGCAGAGATATGCCAAGTTTTTGGCTAATATCTCTTTGGGAATCACCTCAGTGGTGCAAAAATGGAACGATTTATGCCTGTCAAAACGGCGCGTGTTATTTTTCAATGGTATAACTAAAGAAACTGGACAAATAACGTGTTATTGTGACAGGTTACAAGTAACAAAGTGGCTAAAGATACAATTTAAGACAGGCTCTTTGCTAGGTTGTCTGTTATGTGTGGACACAATGCTGGTTTATCCATTGTGCTAAGTGCCGTGTTTATGCTTGACCGGTTAATGTTAATGCTTACCAAACAAAGAAAATGGTCAGGTACAGAGACTGGACTGAAAAAGCAGCAAATGTTCAAAGAAAGACTAGAGGACTATTGCTCAAGAGCACTTTTAAAAATTACAATCACTAAAAACCAGAGATTAAGAACCCAAACTCATCAGGGAAATGTTTACTGAGATCATATAATCACATATAAAATGAGTGGTTGAGCATGTCCTCATACATTTGTATCCAATCTGATTTAAAGCTGCAACCAGAGGTGTTGCCCCCTGTTGGCTGCTAAAAAGAATACAGATTTACATACTCAGGCTCCATCTTTTATAAATAGCCTATATTTACAGTCCTAAAAAGTTTTAAATGGATGAACGATGAAGAAACGTAAATGCTCTAAGTGCATTTGTGTTGCAGATTATGGCTCAATTGTTACTCTGCAATGATTTTGTCACTTTCTTTAGCTAATTGGATATTTGGTTCCGATCAAAGTAGAGCTGCCTGTGCACTTAGCCATTATTACCACCTTATCATTCCAATACACAATATGCATTAGCCTTTCAGGCCTTCTGTTTTCAGTGTATATTATTCTCATTACTGAGCTTTAATTAAAACCACACAAACTGTCCTCTAATGGAATCATTGCGACACAAATCGAAACTCATTAACTCCCCGAAACTCTCAGACTGAATAAAATGTCTGAAGATTCAGTAGCTTTACAGAGAATATATGTGTAAGACGAGCTAGGTAATTAGAAATGATCGGGATCACGGCTTTGAGGTAACCGAGAGGCCGAGCGCGCGCGGCTCACCTTATTCTCTCCCTCTATCACGATGACGGGCACTGAGGTGGCGGGCCAGCGGTGCTTTGCGGGGAGAGGCTTGTCACAGTTCCACAGGACGATGATCTGAAAGAGAGAACAAACAAAGGAAGTTTTATTTGTGCGCTGAATCTAATTCAGCTCCTCAAACCCAAACAAAATGAACTGGCCTAAGCAGGCGACATTTATGTGCTCCGCAGCCAGCAAATGTCACCTTATTACAAGCTGATTAAACGTTTAAGAGACAAAAGGGCAGCTGAAGTGATAAAATATTTCCAATTATGTCCCCAGCGTGCTTTTTACATTTCGGTCTGTAGCCGATCTCGTTGCATTATCAGGTTGTCCTTCTTAATGCTACATCCCTGTGATGCTCCACCTCCCTTTAGATGATGTTTTCAGATTAAAAAGTCATGTTCCCAGCCACAGTCACATCATGTTTTATATGACCTGCAGGTCAGCCGATTCGCTGCACGACGACGGCGGGCCTCATTAATATTTGATGAAAAATACACACACACCCAAATATGACACGATCCTAGCTGACCTTACACACACATTTACACACACAGTTACATCCCTATATCTCGAACCATTCTTCTCATGCATCTTAAATTTGATGTGGAATAATGTGGCGACACAAGCTCGCTAAACTCCTCTAGCTGGACGTGGCGTGCCTGTCAAACTTTGGATGGCGCCGTGGAACTGCGGTAAGCCAAACATGGTTATGTTACTCTGGACTTAAAGACTTTGGAAGGTTTTCTCTGCATTTCAAAACAGCAAATG